CTGAGCAGGGAGCCCGATGTGGGACTCGATCCCAGGACTCCAGGATCATGACCTGAGCCGAAGGCAGTCGCTTAACCAACTGAGCCACCCAGGCGCCCAATAATTTCAAATCTTGATGAAAACTGTGACAGGGCTAAATTATCACAATATTTTTTAGGAAATTCAAATTAACTGAGCAAAAATGTTAAAATATTTACACTAATTTTAAGTGTTTGGATACTATCATAAGCTAAACGTAATTTGCAGCATGCTGCAAAATCATGCCAATGTGAAATAAACCATACAACCTCAAAGAGTTGGAACATGTAACCAGAGTAGTCAAATTATCAAAACTGTACTTTTGGGTTAAATTTCAAAGTACCTATGTATGCTGGAGAGCTCAATTCCACTGCATAGTTTCATGGTTAAGTAATTTTTTACACTGTATAAACGTGGCAGTGATTATGCCACGACCTGAGTTAAAAAGGTAAAAATCCAACAACAAAAAAATTCCCCCTAAACAAATTCCTCCTCCATATCCAAAACAAATATTCAAACCCCACTATTTAATAAAAAGTGATGACAGCTTAGGACACTTAAATGGAACAATAGGCAGACTTAGTATTACCTGAAAGCATATGAGAAGACGGACTCAGGGGTCACAAGAAGTCTGGTATTAAACTTAAAGTGGATGAAGTACATGTGGATCCTTATCCCTGGTCAAGTCTCTAATCAATAAGAATTTGCTAGGTCCTGGATCTTTCAGAACGTGATGAAAGCCATGCATCCACTCCTCAAGCATATATACACACACCAAGTTGAACACAAACTTTTTAATGTCATTTTAGCAGGTTCCCCTTAAAGGCTCATCTCTGGCTTCCATCCAGAGGACTCCAGGTTAAGGGCCCTTGCTATAGATTTTCTGAAGAGCTTCCATTCCATTAAGAATTATTAAATATGTATTTTGGGAAATAGAGGCAAGAGAGGGAGGACATCAGATGACTATTACTTATACCAAGGGACCACTGGTCTCTAGCTGGCAAGAGAGTACTGGATTATTCCACTGATCTGATCTGTTAAGACAATTTTTAGATTCCATGAATCTTAACTGTCATGTGCTAGGCTTTATTGGACTTTGGGGGTAATGGCACTTGGTCACTCAAAAAGCTAAATGACCTTTCTGTATACTTTTCAAGTAATTAAAAAAAAAAACCTCAACAGCCTAATGAGCTGAATAAGCTAATTAATATTACATCAGGCTATTGATTTTTCCCCAAAGGAAACATAGTAATGTAGAAAACTCCAAAAATGAAAGTATTAGTTTATTTCAATTACAACAAATCTTAATTATCATTTGTGCAAAAACACTTAGGGGGGCACATTTCTTTTTTTTTTTTTTTAAAGATTTTATTTATTCATTTGAGACACAGAGAGAGAGAGCATGAGCGGGGGGGGGAGACAGAGGGAGAGGGAGAAGCAGGCTCCCTGCTGAGCCAGGAGCCCGACGTGGGGCTCGATCCCAGGACCCTGGGATCATGACCTGAGCCGAAGGCAGACGCTTAACCATCTGAGCCACCCAGGCGCCCCTAGGGGGGCACATTTCTATTCTCTTCTGTCATCATAAGAGAAAGATCAGAGGAAAACTGTTCACAAAAAGAAAAAAAAAAAAAAAACCCTGTGAAATTTTTTTCCATTAAGCAATAAGAAGGTCAGAAATATGCTGAAATAAACCGTTCTAGCCTAATTTTCACCAGATGAGAAATTGGGAAAGTTTCCATTTCTCTGAATACAAGAGAATGTAATTCAGGTTTCCAGAGTAAGTAGAATGTTACCTATGCATTCAAATGAATAGTAAAGATAGAATTAAGTGCTGGTTTTATTCATAAATCTCAACTGATCGGTATGTGGATTTTAAAAAAAAAAGGCAAAAAGATAATCTGTAACTGATTAGGGTCTAGTACTTAGATAGGTCAAGTGAATACTATAGCGTTCATGCAGAAAAAATAAAGGCAAAATAGGTATTATCTAAACCAGTTAAGTTTGGGTGGTTTGATACAGAGAAAAATTAAAACAAAACAAAACAAAACACATTGTTCCTTTCTTTGAAGGTCAAAATGAAAAGTATACTGCTGAAATCAACATATACCACAACTACTTAAAGATGGAAAAACTTCCACTGTAACATCAGGCACACACATCACCCTTTCATGCATATGGGTTCTTCACTTTTAAGTTTTTAATTTCATTCCTCTCTTTTGAAGAAAATATGCTCAACAAATATAGCCGAATTGAGTTCAGGAAGCAACTGACTTTCATCAAATAGAAGTGTAATTAAACTTTTACTATTTCTGGACAAGACTTATCCTCTATTGGAGAGACATGCTACACCTTAGCTGTCTAGAAATAGAAAAGGAAACTACTCCGTCGCAACTTTAAGTATCAATTTTATCTGTACTGGTCTGAAATGAAAAATGAGACAGAGTGTAGAACATATGAAATTCAAATTTTTCTAAAACACCCCCAAATAATAAAAGACAGCAAATGGATTCGTTTGTCCAGTTTTCTATCACGTGACATTGGTGCTCAAAAATGTTTTCTGAGACAGAAAAATACAAAAATTTTGGATATTAAAATAAACTTAATTCTCTACAAAATAATAGGTCAATGAGAAAATTTCCTATTATCAGATATGCAGATTTCTACCAAGACTGTGTATATACAGAATCCAAGGGTTCAACTCTCAACTGAATAATTATGTTACTTTGTATTATAGGTCAATTTTCCAATCACAACATAAATAACTATAGTTACCTTCAGTTCTTCTATGGACTGGTAATCATTGTTCTTAATCTTTTCTTTCATGGTACTAAAATCCATTGGGTGCTTAATGATCATGGAGTAGCCGGGAGCAATAAAATCAGTCACAGGAAATGAAAAGAAAGCACTTGGGTCTTTTCTGTGAAGATATGAAAAAGGCAATTTTATTTCTACTACAAACAAATCTACTGGTCTAGGAGCAGAAGTCACAGGAAACATTTCAGTGTAGAAAGAATCTGTAGTATACTAACATGCTCTTCACTGCAAGTTGAAAGAATGATTTTATTTTTTTAAAAATTTTATTTATTTATTTGACAGAGAGAGAGAGGGAGAGCGAGCACATGCAGGAAGAGTGGGAGAGGGAGAAGCAGGCTCCCCACTGAGCAGGGAGCCCAATGTGGGGCTCGATCCCAGGACCCTGGGATCATGACCTGAGCCGAAGGCAGAGGCTTAACTGACTGAGCCACCCAGGTGCCCCTGAAGGAGTGATTTTAAAGACTCATAATAACAAGGTTAAGATGTTTTAATACTAGTCCGTACCCTTAAGACAGAGAATCTTTTAAAATATGCAGCCTAATTAATCGGTAGCACCTCCTACACAGGGAAAAATGAAACAAAATAAAAGACCTAAGACTAACTAACTAATGTCTGGCCTTTGGGAGATAAACACTATGTACTTTTATCAACCATAGGGGAAAAGACAGAAAGAATAACTATAAATGCACATCTGCAATCTTCCATCCTGATTTATAACTGTAAGCTTGGATTCTTGGTGGGCCACAGAATTCACGTGAGTATCTAGATTTTCTTAATCAGTGGACCCGACTTTAGTGTGTATAGGAGAGTACTCAAAAAACTGACATTAAAAAGGTCCTCATACTACCGCCAAACTTAAGAACCAGTGCTTTCTATTGTAAGCCCTCAATTCTGGCTGTGCAATTCTGCTTTAAAAAAAATTCCAGTTGTGGCGGGTGGGGAGGTGGCGGCTCACCCTAGACTCACTACATCAGAATGTCCTGGGAAGGAGGGTTCGTCCAGGCACTGGTACTTGCAGGGTTGAGTACTGGTACTGCAGTATTTGGCACTGGTAATTCCAGTACTGACAGGGTTGAAAAACATCGCATATGATTAGGTCACTAGATTGATTTTTTCTCTGGAAATTTGGCAAACCGAAGTTTCTTACTCCAAATTATTGTAACAATAAAAATGATTTAAAACGTAGTAGTAGGAGCAACTTTTAAAATGTATTTACCACATGCAGGCCCTATGGTAGGTGCCTGATGTATTTTATATCTAATCCTTACAAAAGCCATCAAGGTGGTGGCAGCCTCACTTACAGAGATGAGGGAACTGGGGCTCAGAGGTCAAATCTTTTGTTCTAGGTCATAAATCTGATAGAAGAGCTGGAATCTAAACTCAGCTATTTGTTCTTCCTTACAGGATGCCTAGGTGGTGAGACCAGAAAAAAAAAATAAGCAAAAATACCCAGTGTGTCCACAGTAGTTACTATGAGTAACAACACTGATCATCTCTGGAGGACTTCTTCAGAGCAAATCATCTACTATCCCCCCGCCCCCCCCCGAATCAGTCATTTTAACAGAACCCTAATCAACTATACCGTTCATCAGCATTTGGGCTGAGCCTCAAGGATGATGAATCACTAAAGAGCATTCAAAAAATGTGGCTCTGGGTTCTAATTCCCAAAACGTTCTGAGAAATGTCAATATCCTTGGACTAAGAGGACCTTTTTTTTTTAAGATTTTATTTATCTGAGAGAGACAGAGAGAGAGATGGCACAAGCAGGGGGAGAGGCAGAGGGAGAGGGAGAAGCAGACTCCCTGCTGAGCGGAGAGACCAATGCGGGGCTCGATCCCAGGACTCTGAGATCATGACCTGAGCTGAAGGCAGATGCTTAACCGACTGAGCCACCCAGGCGCCCCTAAGAGAGACCTTGTTAAGTGGATTTCTTTTAAGTTGACATCATTAAGCTATATCCTGGTCTTATGTTACAAAAAATAAAACTTCAAAGGCAGCCAAAACACTTTATAATCATACATTCTAATAGAGTCAGAACACCTACCACTTACCTGTTCATATTTGGGGACATGTAATGAATGACTTATTCAAGGGCAAAGACTTGAGATGTAATTTTCTCAATTATCCTGTAACACCAAAAAGGGAGGGAGGCCACTAACTTCTCATCTTAACTGCAAAGCTGGACAGGTGCTGAATACAGAGAGCACAAGAGGCTTTAACTTACAAAATGATTTGTAATCTGTTCTGGGGTTGACACAGAAGGACAACACAGTGAGAAGAAAGTTCACCATAAGAATGCAAGCCCTCCACCCATGAATCCTCTGCAAATAATGTCTCTGAGCTGAAAATTCAAATTCTGAGTAGAGACAGGTATCAAAAATATGTATTTTAATAAAGATGGAGTTACTCTTTTCCCCTTTATGAACTTAACATTGGTTTAATCTAGATACTGTAATTTTTAGAACAAATTTTTGCATGTAAGAGAGGGTCACAAATCCTCTTTACTTTGTTTCTTCTCCCAGACTTAATAATTACTGAATATTCACAGCACAATAAGCACTGAACAAATATATAGAAGGTATTTTCATCGATTAGCAAAATGAAAATAGCTGTATTGTTTATTCCTGGTTTAAAGCTTTAATATCAGAAGTTACTTTAAAGAGAAATTTGCCATTAAGAGTATTATGTAACACTCTTCAAGTTGCCAGTTAAAACAAACCAAAGGAGAACATTTAAAAGTCTTCTTATAGTACTTTCTGCTGCCAGGCAAAATATTTATCATCCACTTTAAAATCAAGTACATTTGGATTTAGGCCACAAAATGTGGCTTTAAATAATCAAAAACAGAGAAGTGGTTTGGATCCTATATTTCCCATTTCAATTTCCAAGTTATAAAAATGTTGGAAAAAATATTTACCTCTGTAATTGTCTCATCAGTTGATTCAAAGCTTCTTGAAGGGGTGTCTGTTCTACTTCTAAAGCAAAGGAGAAAGGGAAAATGTTTTCAAAAGGAAGATTCTAGAGAGTATTGTTTAGCTTATTTTCTTTCTCTATGAGTTACTTCATACCCATCATTAAATATCATACAAAAATTCCATTTCTCTTATAAATATACTGAAGTATGAGAATATCAATTCAAAACTGAAGCTACTTTCAAGCTCTTATGCAGTAACAGAAAAAAGAAAATTAAAAAAAAATTAAACAGCTTTTAAAATTTAACTTAAAAACTAAAAACCCACTTTCCCTGGCTACAATCCTTAAAATAATTTCAGCCTCCTCATTCAGAGACGTTAATTCAGTTATTCCAACCTTCTTGTTTGGCTAAAGAGCTTGTGAGAGGCTTCTCAGGAGGCAAGTCTAATCTTACAGGGGTTGGGCACTGGAGGTCTTTTTCTGCCTCATTCTCCACACGGTCCCGATCTCGCTTCTTTTTATCCTCCTAAATGGAACAAAGGGAAATAATTTAGAAATACTTCAGAATTAATACCTTTAAAACAAATAACACTCATTTCACTGAAAAAAAACCCAAAACAAAAAACTAAGACATCACTCCGAAGATTCTAAATAATGAAATCTTAATGTATTTTACTGCCATCTACTGGAAAAGGAGTGAACAACAGTTCATAAAGGGGTGAGGGAGTATTGCTTCTGTATCCCAGAAATAACCAAATAGAAAAATAATACTATTCACAAAAGCAAGATAACATACCTAGGAATAAATCTAATAAAAGTTCCCAATACCCTTTGGGAAAAATTTGAAACATTACTGAAAGGTCATTGTGGAAGACCTGAATAAAGGAGATATACCATGTTCATGAAATGAAAGACAGTCAATTCTCTCCCAAGTAATCTATTAGTAAAATGTAATTTCAGCGAAAATTGTAAGACAGAATTTTTCATGAAATCTGACAAGCCAATCATAATTTATCTTGAAGAATGAATCACCAAGAATAATCCACAGTTTTGAAAAAAAATCACAGTAAGATGTGTCTTGTCAGATACTATTCGTATAAAGTGATAATAATTAAGACAATGTGGATCTGACACAGGGACAAACAGACCAACATATAGAGTCCAGAAACAGACTTGTGCACATAGAAAAGTCTTGTTATATCAGGGGTGGCATTATAAATCAATGACAAAAGGGCAGTGCTGGGATAACTGGTTATCTACATGAAAAAGAAAATAAAATTAGATCTCTACGTCGTATCATACACAAAAGGAAATTCCAGATAAATTAAAGACTTAAATGTACAAAGCAAAGCTTTAAAACTTCAGATAAATATAAAGAATCTTTATGAACCAAAAGTAGGGAAAGATTTTCTTACCCAAAAGCAAAGCCAAAAGACTAGCTATGGACTGAAATAAAGGACCTGAAATGCAAAAAACTCATATAAGGTATTACCAAAAGTTAAGTAAACAGCATTTATTCAGGTAAAATTCAGGTAAAAAGGAAAGTGGGTAGAAAATGGGTAAAGGATATCACAGGTAATTCCTAGAAGAAACCTGAAATGTCAAAAAACATGAAAATTAGCTCAAGCTCCCGAGAACTCTGGGTATTGTAAATTTAAAAACTAGAAGGCATTTCATATCTGATTGGCAAAAATTAAAATGTCTGAAAATGTCAAATTCTGATGAAAATGTAGAGAAATTGGGCTCTCATACCTTATGGATGGGTGAGTAAATAGGTATAACCACTAGGAGAACAATTAACAATATCTACTAAGGCTGACGATGCCTTTACCCTACTTCTCAGCTCTTCTACTCCTGGGCATACACCCTAGAGAAACTTCCTTTCACACAGTATACATGAAAGACAGGTGTAAGAATATTTATTGCCACACTCTGAAATAGTAAAATATTATGAACAATCTAATGTCTACCAAAAAGAAAATGGATTAATAAATTATGCATATTTACACAGCAGGTAGAATAAGCTGAAGTTACACTGTATCAAAATGTATAATGTTTAGAAACATAATTTCTAGAGACAAAAGTTGAGATTAAGTGTTATCAGTTGTGTAGTGTAGTATACACACACAAATGTGTAAGTGTATATTGTTCACAGATCTATGTAGAAGTAGTAAAATTACAAAAACAAGTATGCAAGTGATGCACATGAAACTCATGATAATGGTTCGCTCTAGGGCAAGAGAGAGAGGAATGGGATTCTGGAAGAATACACAAAAGGCTTCATCTTGATCTATACTCTAATTTTTAAAAGTTTTTTATTGTTATGTTAATCACCATACATTACATCATTAGTTTTTGATATAGTGTTCCATGATTCATTGTTTGTGCATAACACCCAGGATACTCTAATTTCTTAAACAACAACAACCACAACAAAAATTAAAAAAACCCAAAACCAAAAAATCAAGCAAAAGGTACAATGTTGAGATCTGCTAAAACTGGGTGGTTGGTATCCAGGTGGCCGTTTTATCACTGTTTTATTTTAAATCAAATTTGTAATAAAATTGTCCAAAAATGTCTATTTTATGCCTCTGAGAATCAAGATTCTCAACAGGATCTTATCAACTCCAAAACTATTTTCTTGGCTTACGTCCTCATTTATTATCCTAGTATCTAGAGCAGTCAGTGGTTCTCAAAGTGTGCTCCTTGACCAGCACCATCAGCTGGGAAATTGCTAGAAGTGTAAATTCTGAGTTCCCATTATAGTTTTCAAGCTTCAGTGCGCATTAGAATCACCTGAAGAGTTTGCTGAAACATTAATATCTTGGCCCTGTCTCCAGAATTACCCATCTTATGCCTAAGGTGGAGCCTATGAGTATTACCAAGTTTCCAGGCCATAAGGGTGTTGCTGCTACAGGAATCACACTTTGAGTATCACTGATACAGAGCTTCCCTTCTAAGGGTCCAAAGCACCTAATACAGAATATATGACTGGGTTAAAAGCTCCAGAGAAATCATGCACTTGATCTCAGTTACCATCAAGTTGATTGGTGTTTTTTATGGCTTCGTGACAGATTCTGGAGCAGCAAATTTTGACTTTGGAAAGTTTTGTATCTTTTGCCCAGAAAACCTGGCATGAATTTTTTGTAGGCTGGCAGGTTTCCATCTGTTCAATGGAAAAAGACCCCCTAGAGACACAGATTCCTTCCTGTTAAATGTAAATTGTGGCGTGAGGACAGCTTGGAAGGCAATAAGCACTCTTCTAGGTGGAAAGAACTAGGGCCATAGTGCCAGGCATCTAGAGCAGGGGTTGGCAAACTTTTCTGGTAAATGGTCAGATAGTATATAATTTAGTTTTGTGGTCCATAAGGTCTGTCACAACTACTAACCTTTGCTGTTGTGGCATGAAAGCAGCCATAGACAATACATAAATGAATGGGTGTGGCTGTGTTCCAATAAAAGTTTATTTATAAAACCAGGTGGCACTGGCCATGGTTTGCTGATGGTCTATGGGCTCAAGTTCTAGCCCCAGCTTCATCCTTAACACACTCTGTGACCTTCTTAGGCAACTCATTTATCATCGGGCCTCTTCGTCATCCACAAGATAGAGATTTAACTGCTGATTTTATTTATCCTAGAAAGTCAATGAGATGGTGAAATGAGGTCAAGTAATAGAAAAGTTGCAGAAGTACCAAAGGAAGGTACTACCTGATAACTTTATCTTGTCAGCCTGGTCTACAGTAACCACCTTATTTTCAGTATGACAAGAGCATAATGTAGCCTTCTGGGCTAGGGTCCAAAAGAGAAAGAGAATATAAAAAACCTATACTTGGAAACTACCCTAAACTGGAGATATTGTAATGTGTTACCACTAGATGAGGAATTAGGAGACTTGGAGTCTAGTTTACCAGAATGTGACCTTGAACAAGTTACCCAACTTATTCACTCTCAGTTTCACCTACAAGAGGTTTTGATCTCTACAGTTCCCTTTCCACTTAAAATTCTGATTTCAACCTTATTTTCTTCATGATTCAGAATATAGTATAGAATCTTACTGCGAATGTCCCTTACTAAAGGTCACACAGATACGTAAAACCAAGAGTTAACACAGTTATGCTCAATAGTTAGTGCATTTTGCCAATTACATATAGAGAATGAAACAAAAACACTAGAGCCATTTAACTTCAGGTAGCCAAGGAAGAAGGGTTTATAGTTACAGTTTATAAATGGGCTCAGATTCTGGCTTTGCCACTTATTAGCTATCAGATTATAGATAAACTATATAATTCTGGGGGGACTAATTTTCTTATCTTTAAAATACACAATAGAGGTGCCTGGGTGGCTCAGTTAAGTGGTCTGCCTCTGGCTCAGGTTATGATCTCAGGGTCCTAGGATCGAGCCAAGCCTCGCTTCAGGCTCTCTGCTCTGCGGGAAGTCTGCTTCTCCCTCTGCCCCTCCCCTGGCTTGTGCTCTCTCTCAAATAAATAAAATCTTAAAAAAAAAAAAAAAAATACACACAATAGTACCTCAGAAGATGGTTTTGAGGATGAAATAAGATCGTGTATGTGAAATTTCAGTGAAGTACTTACTCACGGTGTCCACTCATTCATTCACGCATTCAACAAATAAATGAGGTTCTACTGTGTGGATACACACTGGTGGATAAAATGCACACAGCCCTGTCCTTAGGCAGCTGAGAGTGTAACAAGGGAGGCACACATTAAACAACTCATTAAAAAAACCCAAACAGATTTCATGGGGAGAATAACTGTTGGGTGAATCTAATTTAGACTGGACAAGTGTGGGAAGGCTTCTATAAGGAAGTAACATCTGAGCTGAGATCTGAAGGATAGAATTTAGCCAGGCTTGCGGGGGGGCAGGGGGAGGTGGGTGGAAAGAGCATTCCAGACAGAGGAAGTATCCTCTGTGCAAGAAGGTCCAGGCAGCAGAGACAAACCATGGCTATTTCTGTTAACTACAAACACACTGGACTTAATTTTTTCACTGCTCAATGGCAAGTTATTAATTTGTGAATGACACTTTGGAAGCAAATCTCTGTTCATATTATAACACTCATTGCACTGTATTATAAACACATCTGCCTCTTTCACTGCAGTTCCTCACGGGCAGGGTCCCAGGATGGCCTCAGGAGGAAACCAGAGTGGGAGGATCTTCTGCCATGAGATCCTGGGTGTGGCAGATGTCACACCAAACGAATCAATGAATTGTTTTGACAGAATTTTCATTCTGCGTAATGACAGTCATTCATTTCTTCTCTCTAGTTATGAGCCATCTCATCCTCTATGCCTCCGTTAGCTCAGCAATACGATGAGATACTAACAGTACCTATCCCACAGAGCCATTTGTAAGAAGACAGTAAACGTACTGGCCTACAACAAACCCTCAGATGTTAGTTTTGAGTATGTTATCCCCCTTTGGAATCTAGTTTAGTGCTTTAATAAAATAGGTGCTTATTGGAATTTATTGTGTGAGTAATAGCTTAAAATTTTCATTGTTTTTTTTTTT